AAAAAAAACAATGCATATAAATAGAATGTTAATGCAAATGGGAAAGAAAAAAGTTTGAATTTTCTTAGAAAAGTATGAGTATCATGAATACCAATATCAAGAAACAAAAATATTTTATTTATAGTTACTACTTTTTTTAGTTAGCATTTAAATTATTTTCTCCATAAAAAATTGGTAATCATAAATAATGATTTCATATAATCATAATATGGACCACAAACTTTAATAATGACGTCATAGTAATAAACTTCATATGACTAAGAGTATCATAATATAATATAATTCAAATTATTCTCATCTGAAATATTTTGACAAAGTGATATGCTTCTCAATATTACAAATTCGATTGATTGGGAAAAGTATTAAGACAAATAACTTTGAAATCATTGCAACAACCAAAATAGTTAGTGATTTGCAAACAATAGGTTATGTAGTTTGTCAATCTTCTAAATAAATAACACTAAAAAGAGAATGTTCGATTCTGATCAAAATGTTTTTGAATGTTTGAGTAAGTTGTCACTTTTTAATAGGAACATTTACAATCTTAATTGTGTATTGTGCTCGAGAATATGCGCAATTACTTTAGAGTATGTACTTCATGTAATATGATGATAATAAAAATAGTTTAGCATCTTTTCGAAGAAGTACATGATTTTGAAAAATCAACTTTTATTTAGAAATAAAATTCGTTCTCACCTTATATGATAGGTACCAATTTGTCTATATGGGGAGAGAGAAAGAGAAAGAGAGAGAGAGTAATGTAGTAGTTTATACAATGATAAAAAAAATCACGAATTTCAGTGACACGGTTGGTTATTTCACATAGATAATTATGAAATGTTAGTTGAAATATCTTATAATGATCGTTCAATTACGAAGTTTGACTATATGTTTGGTTAAAGTATGTATAAGTGTTGAATAAAGTAGACGTTTTACTAATTAATTAAGAATAATTTTGCAATACTATTGATGTATTGGACTCCAATGAGTATGAATGTTTCTTATGAGAACTCAAAACTAAAATGAAAAAAAAATGACTCTCGAACATTATAAATAGATAAATAACTCATGCATCTATAATATACATTAGATCCTTATTTATTATTATTATTATTATTATTATTATTATTAGGGACTTATTTTCTTATATATTTTTGTTTGAGTTTGTAACATGTTATTTAAATCCTTTTATTTTACGACATCATTATGTTGTTTTTAACAAAATATTTATATTAAGAGTTTATTTGTTCTATATTTCATTTTGTTATTGCAATCATATATTTAATAAATTAATTGATTTATCTTATCGGCCAAAAATATTTGTCACCACGTCATTGCACGTGCACTTTACTAGTATTATATAAGTGTACTCAACCTGCTTTTGCTGCAATTCAAACAGTTGCAGAGATTTTTTGTCTTCTTTAATTGTTTAGTCTTTGACTTTTCTGCCCTTTCCGGTCAGACAACCATGTTTCATCTGTTTCCGATCCTCGTCGCCATTGCATCAGTGCTGTTTTGGGCACACTACTACTACACTAACCGTAAAAGCAAGAACAAAAACAATAAGCGGGTCCCGCCTGGCCGAATGGGGCTCCCGTGGATCGGCGAGACGGTCGACTTCTGCAAGG